TTACAAAGAATTTCTCCGTCTGCTTGACTTATCCTCTGGGTCCTAATTCACGCGCCCTAATCAAGGAAGTTAATGGAGCCTCATAGTTTACAGAAGTATACGAGGCTCGTTCGTTCCGAGTAACAAACAGCTAACTCCGACCTCTCTTTTATGCATAAACTGCTAAGAGTCTTCTTGCGAGTTACCAGCCATCTTGGCGATAATTATCTGCCGGGAGGTCGGACGAAAACGGGGGAGTCCGCTTAAGATTCGAGGAAAATAAGATTCTCCTGGGACGTCCGTCTTCCCGCAGGGTAGCGTTCGCCGGAAGAATATTCGGGCCAGCGCGGCGTTCACGCGCAGTTTCTTTTACGAGGGACTTAGATCGCGGGAAACGGTGCCATCGCCGCGAAATATTCCCGGGCCTCCGCGCGTCGGTCGCCCGTCGGTCCGTCGGGCCGTGGAAACACGACCGGAGGCTGGGACGGAGCGTCGCGAACAATGAGAAGGATCGATAGACGGGTCGCGCGCCCGCGGAAAAGCTTATCCTGTAACGAGCTTACGATCCTCCGTCCGGATCGTCGCCGATGTCGCTGGCTGCGATAGATTTATCTTTGGCGCACGGGGTCGGAGAACGTTTACCAGCTCCGGTATTCACGTACGGGGAACGCCAGTCCGTTTCCAGGTCTAAACGCTTTATCCCCGCGATTTACGGGGGACAATTGTTCTTTCAATCTATATCTCGCGACGCGTTTATTCCCTCCCTTCTCTCCGTTTCGCTCATTCCTCCTCGTCGCTCTGCCGGCTGACTTTATGACTCGGCAGCTTGATACAACGGGGACTCGGAATCGTAACGCATCGATCATCGAATACGAGGTTTAGAGTTCGCCAGGCTGTCGATCTGCTGCTTAATAACTCCAATTCCTTGCCACACAGTAAGAGACATCTACGCGTCTCTCTGTATTATGGAAATAATCTTGATCATTACGGTTGAATGTATTCTACCACGGATAGTCCGAAGTAGAACGATTCTCTGCGGAACGCCGGAGGGAATGAAAAATAGCTGACGAATGTAAAGGACGGATTAACTTGTCCACGGTTGTCAAACCGAGGGGCATCAATGGGCGAGGATAAATCAAGACGGTCGAACTGCTCGCAACAATAGAGATTCCGCAGCGGAACGCACGACTCGCTCGGATTTCATCGAACCAGCCCGTTCGCCTCCCGTGGAAACCTACTTGCGCGTGATCAATCGACAGCGCACGTTAACAAGAGACCCGGCGAATCCACTGCGACGGAAACCGGGCTTCCATTGCTATGGTAGCGTTGCCCTAGCGGAAGCAGGCTGCGTGATTAGGCGGAACAGAATTGGGGCAGCCCTGATAGATAAACGCGGCGCGCGAGGCTTAAGATTATCGACACGCTGCTGTGTACACCGCGCGCCGGATAATGGGACAAAGACCGGGAGCGGTCAAGAACTTCGGATCGCCGAGCCGCTCAGAATCGGGGCGAAATACTGGACTGCGAGTGGTCTGTTGCGAGAATCCTCGAATGGCCGCGGTGTGCTCGAACGCGACGAGTTTTTAACCCTTGACACGACTGCCACTAGAATTTCTAGCGATTTGAATAGTAGCACTTGATCTTTACCAACAAAGGCAAATGATATTGCAAATAATTGTTAATCGTTTAGTATCACAGTAGACATGTTTTTAGTTTTCACGTAACGCTTGGTTCTCTGAAAAATTCGACCGTTCTGCAAAAGCCCAGTTTTTCTCGAAAACTGGACGTGACCCAGCAATTTGGTTTTCGGATTCGTATTTAGGGTAAGGAGCTCTATAAGAATCGCCTAATGGTTATTGCAGAAAGCAACGTAGGTTAAAATTTGTTCCACGGTGTAATAGAATGCACGAAACATTTACTATATAATATAGCTGTATCCTTTTATCTTCGAGTCTGAAATCTTTCGCTCTCAATTGTATAATCTGGACTAGCGAATTGCGCTGAATACGGAACGCAAAGGGCCTGGAATCATCGGCAATGGCTGGAAACCCGTCCAGATGGCCCTGGTAATAGGAGTATTAGAATATACAGGGGAAGCAGAAGTAATAATATACCGGAGGATCGCGCAGTCTCTGATGGGGCTGGAGAGGAGAGTGCCGGACCAAGTAATAGACCGTAAAGGGGCCAGGATCACACGGGTAATGGATCACGGGAGAGAGCCAGCCTCTTGCGGCGAGACGAACTACGTAACAGAGCGGGACAGCCCGGAAGGAAGACTCCCTTTATAATAGGAGCCGTGCTTAAGGGGAAGCACCAGCCAAGTGTGACACGCCGATTTTGATAAAACTCGCGCAACTCGGAAAGTAACGGAGACAGAGAGAAATGCGGGACGCCGCTGTGAGGAATGGGGATGATATTCGAGCGGATGCTACGGCACGCTTGATTTACTCTCGCGTAATAACTATTTTACATCTCCTTACGTGCGGCGAATCCTCGAAACGCGTGTCGGGTACGCTGAATACCTCCGGCGGAACGCGGATTCTCAAAAGAATTTACGACGCGAGGTAACGCGGAAAAGCCGTTTGAAATTTCAGTAAAAATCCGCGCCCGCGAATATTAGAAACACCGCGGCGGCCCGTGGAATTTTTTCGTCGTTCAACAAAGAGGAGGAGTACACGTTCGTAAAGATAGAACGAAGCTCGCGGACGGCCGCGTGAATTATTCTATTTTCGCGGGCGTTGTTCCGCCGAACTTCCGCGGAATAATAACAACCGAGGCGACCCGGAGCCCCTTCCGCAATAAAATACGAACTCATAATGCCCGGTTCACCGTGTAATTTACGAGTTCATATTTTATCGCGCGCGAGAGGTCCCAAGTCCCATATTTTCGGCCGGTATTTAGACGCTCCCTCGTCGGGAGCCCTCTCGAGCGTGAACCCGCCGCGGAGCGCGTTTATCGCGGGGAAACTCGGTATCGGGAGCCTCGGCGGCAGCCTCTTCGCGCTTCCAGCTCCGCGAACTTGTCCGGGACGAGGGTCGACGGAAGTGCCGGGACATTCTTCGAAACAGGAGTTCGAAACTCGCGTGCGGCCGCCTCCCTGCGGCGCGTCGCGCACAGGCGGCCGCGTCGTTAACGAGCTCGTAACTCCCCGACGGATGATCGACGCGGCGAACGATCGAGATCAGGAGCGGGACGGTCGGAATTCGCGCGCGGAACTCGTGGCACGCGACTACGTCCGACAGCCGTG